GTCTGCTGCTGCTGCTGACCCTGGCACGTTAAGAGCAATCGCAGATATCTCTGTCCAGCACTGAATACTGCTGTGTTGTTGTAGCCCTAAAACCATGGAGGAAAACCTCTAGAACAGTTACCATGTGATTTTTGAATGGACAAATCTGTAAATCACTGGGTTTCTGCCTTCACCCCAAGATCATGAGAAAATAAGAGACAACAGAGATGAACCCTCTCTTTCCCAGACAAGGTTGTTCAAAAAGATACGCAGTTAACATCCTTTGTGTTCTTTGTACCACTGTGCTTTCTCGCTCTTCCCATAGCACAAGCTAGACAAAGCACACTCACATAGACTCAGAGGACAGAAATGAACCCAGAATTGTCTACATCGTATACAGTCATTTTGGTACTGCTAAAGAAGCAGCAGCATTTTTTACTGTCCTAGTTTTAAGGATCAGTGCCACAATCTGGCAGTGTAATTGATTCAAGGTGCTAATGTCTATGCTTCTTTTGTTCATTTGCATATATAGCATTTACAGAATGTATGATGTTGTACTGTATTTTGTAGAATACGAAACATACTTCTGCAAGATAAAAATAATGCTATTTTTACATGTGAAATCTTTACTCTGATTTCCAAACTTAAGGTTTTCACTTCCTTAAATTATATTTGCAATGTTTTGGAAAGGTTTAGCATTTTTGCCAAGTGCATTATGTGAGCATGTTAAAGCATTATTCAGAATTCAAAATGTCACAGTGATATGTTTCAACATACCCCCACTTTTGCGATGCTGAAAAAATACCCATTTCTGTGGCAATCCCTTTTCTAGACAGGATTCAAGTATCGGTAATTGTGGTGGATTGACTCCAGCCAGCAGCCAGGCACCCACACAGCCGCTTGCTCAGTCCACCCCCCACCCCAGACCCAGTACAGTAATTGCAAGGATTCAAGGAATTTGCTGCAAAGGTTAAAGATCTTTAGAAATTATGATCTTTCATCATCACCAGGCTGTGGAGCTGTAATGGAAACATGTCTTGCCTACAGTTCCACCTAAATGGCTCCAATTAGTAGAGTTTTCATCTACTTATATACCTCATACCACATTTCTTACATGACAGCAGGTGTGAATGCAAAGTAAATTTTAGAAACAAAGGACCTTTAACTCTCTATCCAAAAATCCAGTACACAGGCCTTGAAAGTGCTGAAACATTGTGGAAGGCTTTGTCTCCTCCAAATGCCTCGAGGTGTAGTTTCATTGTAAGAGCAGAGTGGCAGGGAAAAAAGCAGGGTATTTCAAATCAGCTGGCCTGCTCACAGGACTACATAGCTGTACATTTATTTCAGATTTACAAAAAATACTTGTTTAGTGCATGTGTATTGGCTGGTTTGTTAGCCTGACAGTAAGTCAAGCCTCATCACCTCCTATTTTAAATTGTCAGATGGCATATGCAGTACAGAAATATGTATACACATACATGTATAGATATTTTAAATATGATTCTAAGACTATGACTTAAGCCTGCAGCACTGACAGACTATATCCCCCACAGCTAACTGTTTGCAGTTTGTATTCTCAACTTGCAGTTTAAGAGGATTAGCATATTTTATTTTTGAAGAGCATCACATCTGATATTATGGAGACTGGTTTCTGCACTATTTCAAATGAAAAGTTGCCTGTTAAATCCTGTGATGAAAGAGACTATGTTCCTTTTTTTTTCAATATGACAGTTGCTAAAATTATCTATTTTTAAAAGCACCTTAGTTGTCAAAGGCAATTTTAAGTTGTTAGGGGATGCTACTTATGTGGGTGTTTATAACATGCCATTGCATTGTTAGCATGAAAACTGAAGAGGCACCAAAGATTCTACAAAACATTCATCAGAGCATCTTTCACACTTACTAGAAAAATTCAGCAACTTGGAAACCAAGGAATGCTATTTCTTTCTGCTGATGGCAGGAATACACTTAATTCCAAATGCAGCCGATATGCAGCATTGATAGCTGGATATTTTTAAAGGTGTTGAGTATTCCCAATTACTTTAAACTTGCTTAGGAGCTGCTGCTGTTCCACCCACATAAAGATTAAGCGAGTGGCTTACTCATTAACAAAGATGTATCGCACACTCAGTATGCTTAGTGGGATCCAAATACTCCCAAGCGACGGAAGTTTCTGTAATTTGCTGTTCCCTTTGATCCACTGCAATAGTACTATCTGATAGTGAGGAGAACTTGGCTTCATAAATCACCAAGAACTTGGGAGTATTCACATCCAAACTCGGCTATTCCTTCCGCATATCCATCTCGCTTCCATGTGTGAATTTGTTGTTTGTTTGACTTGCCAATTTCCCCTTTTTTACCTTGCTATCTTTAAGAAAGGGAGAAGGGGCAGAAAAGCAATAATGCAACCTTCCCAGAAAAAAACAAAACAAAGCAAAACAAAACCAAAGTGACAGTTAAAGATTGCACACAAAGGTATATGTGCAGTTCAGCAAACTGAACTGATACTGTCCTTTGCTCTTCACTTCAGTGTTTTACCAAGGAACAGGTTATGTAGGAGACTAGAAACCGTTAAATATCTGAATCAAGCTGTATTTTCCAATGCTCAAGCCTTTAAATATGTGATATTATTTTGTAATATCTAACCTCTTGAGAAGAATATAATTGCAATGTGAAAATGCTTTTGTTTAATTTTTTAAATGACCACACTTTGTTTTTAAAGGCCAGGAATCCTAAACATCAGTGAACCGGCCACTCAGCCATGGCTAGCAGATACTTGGCCTAACACAGGGAACAATCACAATGACTGCTCCATCAACTGCTGCACCTCTGGCAACGGAACCAGTGATAGCAACCTTACAACGTACAGTCGACCAGGTTAGATATGTTTCTACCTTGCTAATGAATCTTCTTTACAGAATATATACTTCTAATACCTGAGAGAGTGTACAGGTTTGTTCGGGTTTTTTATTTCCAATGCATTTAGACTTAATATAGTTTCTCCCCTATGTAATGATTATGCTGTCAGTCCCTTTTTGGATCCCTTTTTTTGGTCCCCTTGGATAGTTGTAGCAAGCTGTAGGCTGAAGAAGCCCTTGCAAAGTTCAATGTTACCAAAAGTCACACTGTACTGATATGTTTCAGCATCTGGAAAAGAGCAGATAAGGTAATTTTTAGGCTGTTCTGTACATCCTTGTTGCTTGGATGGAGAAGGAGAAATACCAAAATGACACTAGTGAGATTTTCCTTCTGGTTTGCGTGTGATGGGAAGCAAGAAATAAAACATTGCTACAGTACTTGCAAGGCAATCAGTCTACTTTGGCACATTCAAAACCTCCCTTGGGGTGCCATTCTGTACAAAATTGGATAGCTGGTTTTCTGTTTAGGGTGTGTGCATTAAAAAGCTAATTTCACACTCTAAAAGCAATTATGAAATGTTAGGTTAAGTGGTAGTTCCCAGGAGCTTGGGCAGGACTCAGAAAAGAGTCTTGCTCTTCAAGAAAACCTTTTGAGTTCCATGGGAACACAGTTGGGGAAATATATCTGGAAGCACTAGTTGTTGCACGTTTTGTTTTAAATGGACCTTAGGTTCCTTTGGTTTTAATCCAGTTTGTGTTACTGGTGAGGAATGAAAATGAGTCTTTTCCACTACCAGCACCTCTTGCTGATTTTTGCTAGTAGCGTTTCCCAGCATTCCAGAGAGGGAGTATGATTACCCATAGTGAAGTTGCGTTAAGTGCAAAACAGCATTACCTCCTGTAATTAATGTGAAACCAGTCATAATGTGATGGTGGTAATTCATCTCCTGCAATATGCTGTCTAACAGTGATCAGTGCCAGGTGCTTCAGAGGAAGGTGAGAGATTTTAACATTAGAGACTTATATCTTACCCTGCCCGAGGATATCACGTCCACAAATACCTGTGTAAAAGATTTCTGATACAGAGATACTTTATTGTGGCAAGTACAGACATAGCAACTTAACAAATTCAGAAAAGGAAGAGAATGCACATTTTTGAGGGTTGTAAACTATTATAACATCTGGTCATGAGGTGCACATTAAGCTGGGTTGTGTTGCAAAGTGATTCCTTCCTTTCAAGTAAAGCTTATAAGCTTGAGGGTCAGACAAGATGCTCATAACAGTCTCTTCTGTCCTGGAAAATCTGGCAAATATTCTTAATTATGTCAGCTTGGGCTTGGCTTATGCTCTGAAGCAGCAGAGTTGGATATCCCCTCTATAACTGTGAATATGCTAAGTAACTGTGCATTTTTAATTTCTTTTAAGTATAGTACTGTCTTTCAAGTCTACAGAATGGAAATGGGTTGTTCTAAAAGTAGATGCTATAAAAACTCTAACAGAATGAATCTTCTGTTATATAGATAAACCAGTTTTGTTTAAGTACTTTGTATGAGGAATTCTAATGCGTCTATGTAAAAAAATGTACCTACTGCATATACTGTATCGATTATATTGCCCTACACACAAATCGTAGCTGAAAACGGAAGGACGTAAAAATATATGTTATAAGTGACTCTGCAAGGATATTATAGCAAAGCATGAGGTATTAGGAATGGAGAATATGCTGGATATATAATTGCCCAATATAATACAATAGACTTGGAAAGGAGGAAAAACTAGTATGGTTTCAGTAGGTGAGAGAAAAAGCAGAAATGAAAACATGTAAAAAGTAGAAATCAAGAAGTTGAAGACTGAAGCAATAAATAACAGCTCGCATAAGAAAAAAATATATCAAACAGTAAAACCTTCAAAAAACAGAAGCTGGGGGGCATGAAATGTGCAATGGTAAGTTGTATGTGGCATGTTCTGATACTGTTCCTTAATCATTGAAAATGTGGATCAGTGCTTTTCTTCCTCAAGTAGTATTTTATTTCTCTTTTTCAGGAAATATTTCTCAAAAAAAGATGTATGTTTAGGGAATATTTTTGAAATTCAACATCCCCTGTATTTAGTAGTTATTTCATTTAGTATAATGGTCAAATCCTGAATTTTGTACTTAGTTTTACTTGGCACCCTCTCCAGTAAATTAATTGTGGCCACAGGTAATGGACTTCAGGTTTTGAATCAAACTCATTAGCATAAATACTCCATCTTTTAAAAGCAGGGAACTATATTCCTGGTGATTGTTATGTAATTATTGATGCATTAATCAGCTGGCAAATGAGAATTTTTGCTTAATGATCATTGAATGCTGGTTTCACTAAGCCTTCTAACTGCTGACCCACAGACTCCATTCTATATTCTTCCAGTGGATTGGATATGGAGAGGAAAAAAAGTGTGTGGAGCTGCTGTCACGCAGAGGCAGGAGAACGCAGAAAGGCAGGCCCACTGGTCCACACAGCAGTGGCCAGAGCATCAGTACATGTCTAATTTGCTCTATGCAATAAGTGATCATCTCATGATGCAAAAACTATTAGAAGAATGAATTCATGTTGTCTGTATGATACATATTTAGCATACAGGACAATGGTATTACTATGGTATTACTTATTTTGCAATATGCAAAGCAACTAAAAATTAGCAAAAATTCCAGATTGTTTTCCTGTCTTTTTGTTTCAAAGCAAAATATAAGATTGTACAAGGAAATGATGATCAAATAAAGACTTTCTACTGGGTACTGAGTTACCTTTCACATTGTACTGTTTCTCTTTAATTCTGTTATATGTAATTATTTTTCAGTCTGTTTTATAAAAATCTGTTGTATCTCTGTTTCTTACCACAAGTACGAGAAAGTCTAAATGCTGTTGAGATGACATGAGATGACTGTCATGTTTAGTTATTCCCGCTATTAAATTTTGGCTGATTTTTCCTTTTAATGCAAATTATTTTAATCACAGTTACTGATTGGATATTTGTACTGCTTTGGGAATAATGTCTAAAAATGTGAATGTTTATACGGCCACTGTAAAAAAACCCAGGAAGGTAAGTCATTGTAGATACAATTCAGAAGGTCTGAATTTACAGTGAATCAAAACAGTGGACACTACTTTTGAAGCAGTAGTTTATAAGGTAAATAATATTCTGTAAATTATTTAGTTAATTAATCTCTGCTTCATGGATGCAAGCCATGTAGTTATGCACTAAAAAATTTTTAAAGGGAATTTCATTGAAAGTACAGTGTAAGCGAACAGAATGACCTTTTCTTTTTTCTTTCCTCTGTGGTTAGCCGATTGTATAGCAAATTACAACAATCAGCTGGACAACAAGCAAACAAACCTGATGTTGCCTGAGTCAACTGTATATGGTGATGTGGACCTCAGCAACAAAATCAATGAGATGAAAACCTTCAATAGTCCAAATCTAAAGGACGGAAGATTTGTCAGCCAGCCTGGGCAGCCCACTCCTTATGCCACCACTCAACTCATCCAGTCAAATATCAGCAATAATGTTAACAATGGCAGCGGGGATACGAATGAGAAACACTGGAAACCCTCTGTTCAGCAAAAGCAAGAGGTTGCACCCATACAGTACAACATTATGGAGCAAAACAAATTAAACAAAGGTGAAGAGCTTTTAGCTTGTTTCTCCTCTTTAGGCATCAGAGGAGTTTTGGCCTTCTGGTGCTGGGAGTCTGCTGCAGACTTCTGTGGTGCTTTTAGACTCGTCCCTCTTTAGATTTAGTAATCCACAGTTAGCAGTGTCAGAAAGTTAATTAGCACCACAATAACCTTCAGATATTGAATTTATTATAACAAATAAAAATCTGTATCTTTAGAAAAGAGTTAAATACATTTCCTATGGATTTGAGATTAATTTAAATTTAATAGTAGTTCAGGGATTGGTTAGGACAGAGGCCAGATATTTTATTCATAAGCCAGATGCATGGTAGTCACATTATACTCTACCTTAAATTTTAAATAGGTCAACCCAGTCTTCCCAGTCATGGATGGAGACTAATTAAATCTACATGTTCATGTAAACGAATGAAATTTTGCATATCAAACTCTCTAAAATTGTATTCTGTTGTACACTGGGGACACAAATGGAGTGATCCAATTCATTTTAGACTTGTTCCTAGCAAGCCTTTGATTCACATATTGAGAGGCAATGCTATCGCACACAGTTGTGGAAACTAAATTGCTTTGTTACCCTGACTGAAGTCTGTGGATCCAGAAGCTAAAAATAAATTTATTTCAGTGTTAACGGGAAACATCAGAATGTACTTTTGTGGCCTTGAGGGCATGTTTCTTTAATGTAATATGTGGGAGTTGGAAGAAACAGGTATGTGATTTCTTGCTAGTCCTCCAGGCTACCATGCAACCTCTTTTAATAACCTGATTTGCAAAACAGTATCCCTAGGAACTGGATGCATTCTAACTTGGAACTTTTTGCATGGATTGTTGTAACTCAAGTGATCGCATAGTGATAAGTTATTCCGTAAAAAGATACGTTTCATTACAGGAATGTTGATTTCTCTATCGGACATCTACTCACAGAGGAGTTCAAAGGGCAATATAAAATGTGACACCTTCCCTTGACATAAACATGTCAAAAGAAAATTCAATTTTTGTGGCTCCTTACTAGAGGGTGAAAGCTGTATACTTTTGTAATTATGTTTTCTTTCATGAACTGTGTATTACATATCTGTTTTGGAATTAAAACATGTTTGGTTTTTATGCCCTGGAAGATACTGCATCTTTCAAACTGTGTGTATTACAGCTGCATATTCTCTAGCATATTGTAGTGTGGAAAGGCCCCCTTAAAGCATTGTCTGCTGACAGTCATATATACATATTTCAGAGTGTTGATTTACTGTTTATCCTCTGTGTAAACATATGCAGTATGTAGGGCTTCAGCGTGGTCTCTGGAATGCAACTAGGCTGAGAAACTATTACAGAATACACTCTGGTGTGGAATTTATCATTTTGCTCTTTTTCCCATGCTTATATTATCACAAACATTTCTGCAGCAGATGGGGACTGAATTCTTAGTTTTGTTTATGTTTGTTTTGATTTGCTATTTTATGAGTCAATATTCTGATCTTGGTTTTCTCATTTCCTAAGTCAAAACCATCTTGCTGACGATTATACCTATAGCTTTTGTGATGGGAAATAACCATTTTGATGAGTTACATGCTGTGCTTCATTGTCACTACTTTATGTCCAGTGGTTCTGTTTGTGATGCAGTTTTATTTGCTGTATGAAGAGCTCCTTTCTGTTCTCTGTAAATTATAATTCCTTTTTGGCATGAAAGTACTGTTTTGTCAGATGAGTATTTTACTTCTGATAAAGTTTTATAGATCTGATTGCCAAATCTAGATTTAGAAGTAACATGTATATCAAGTGCTTTGGAACTGGAGAAGGAAGTTACAGTAATAGCCATCAGCAAAAAAAGGCCCTGCCTGTAGCTAGAACCTGCATGACCCAATGTAAATAGAAATCTTCTTGGAGCCAGCAAGCGTTAAACAAAAACCTCTTCTGTTGTAAACCAAATTTGGTGAAGCTGTATTGTTGCTCCAGCAGATCATTCAGCCCTTGTAATGCAGGACTGATTCCTATGTGGGTTTGTCACCTTTGAAATACAAGAAGTAGCTACCACAGTCCATTGGCTGCCCTGCTTCCGTAAATTAAGCAGAGACCATGGAAAATCAATCAAGGTGACAGTCTGTTCATATGCAAAATGCTCACACAGGTCATATATATATACATTGAGGCTTAATCCTTGCAGAGGCATTGGGACAACCCTGTGCATAGGATTTCATTTTCCTTCATTTTTGCTGTGGAGCTACTAAGTTCCCATGATTTTCCTTGAACTTACAATTAGAGACAAGATAAAAATAAAACATGATTATAGGATTATTTTCCTTTCAAAAAATGAATTTATTTCTTCCTCACTATTTTCAGGAGATCTTACTTTGTGTTATAAAGCAGGTATATAAAAGTAGATGTATTTCTAAAGGGTAGCATTAACTATACTATTAAACTTGCAGATTACCGGGTAAATGACAACATTGCTCCAACTATTCCGTACAACCAGTCATACGACCAGAATACAGGTGGATCCTACAACAGCTCAGACAGAGGCAGTAGTACATCTGGTGAGTATCTACAGTGTTTTCCAAAGCTTAGGTTTTTTGGTTGTTTGGACGCTCTAACCGTAGTTGGCACTAGTTACTGGACCTACAGAAGGGATGATGGGGAGGGACTCACTGACAGTAATACGGCACAGGGATGTTAAACAGCATAAAAACTGGCCCAATAGGTGCCTATATTTCTATGCATCCTCGTGATTCCTTAGGGCCATCTAAATGTCAATTAAGTAATTGATTGTCCAAAATTGTGAAAGTCATGAAATCAAATAGAAGTTGGATTTCCTAATGTTAATGCCCTACTGGTTAATATTATGGCCTCCAGATGGGCAAGTCATAGAAATTCCTTTTCAGCTGTCACAAGAAAGAGGATTTTAATTTATGTATTATCTTCCTGGTACTTTACTGACTTCTTTTCCATCTCTTAGGTCTACTCACTCAAGACAACCTTATTCATGGATACCAGAACATATGAGTCATACCTAACAGAACTGCTTTAAGAATTTTTTCATTTTTAAAATTAACCCCATGCATTTTATTGAGTAAAAAAGCATGCATGCATACATAAGATTTTTATAGATTTCAGTGGCTATATGTCAAAACTATTCTTGTACATCATTCAAATGTAGACAGTAGATAATTAAAGTTAAATTTTGTTTCTCATCGGCATCTCCTATGAAAAATGTATCAAAGTCCTTTGTAAAAATCTTGAAACAAGACAGCTTTTTGTGCTGGAGAATGCTGACCAGGGCACTGAAATTGCACTCTGTGCTTTGGAAGCACAAAATATGGTTTAATTAAAAAGTTATTGCTTCTCATCATGGTATAACCTGTTCACTTGGAGCTTTGATTTCTGGTAGAGGTGTGTGAATGTTCAGAGCTAAACCAGAAACTACACATAGGCTTGGATTGGGGCTTTACTGTAAGTCTGATACTTAGCCTATGTTTATTTACATTAAAACATATTATAGGGTGAGTTATGGTCACAATCATCAGCGCCCTGGACTTTACTAATCAAAATGAGGACTTTTCATCTTTTGTTCTGCTGTTGCCTTTGATAGTCCAGTTGCCTTAATCCTAACCTGCGCTCCATCTTGACCGATTGTGACTGAGGCACAGCAGAGGCATAAACATGTAGATAAGCCTGCTGTGCCTTTGGGTGACCTGAATTCTCAGTGGCTGGGGTGAGATAAGCATGGCTCCCTATTCTCCCAGCTGCTCAGGGGTGTTCTTCTGCGAGCCAGCTTTTTGCCCGTTCCCAGGTCTACAACATCAGGATGTGGTGCTGAGCCTGTGCTCAGTGATGTTAAGACCTGAAATTCAGCGTGAAGCATCTCGGGGGTATGAACCCATGCAAATTAAAAATGAGAAGGTGGTATTCTCCATGCTGACGCCTATTATGGTTATTCATAATGCCAACAATTTA